TACTCCAACACTAAGATATTCCATTTCTACAATACTTGGAGCTCTTCAGGCCGAAAATTGCTGTGAAACATCCTGCCAAGATGATGATTCGTATTCTTCCCATTTCTTCTTAATGCATGCAGGAATCCTCACTTGCAATATAAGAAAGCAGCAGGGAAAAGCAGCATTTATTTAGCTTAATTTAGCAAATGATTCAGTTTATTTACAAAGCTCATCTTTCTGCTGTTCAAACGCCTGTTGGAAATGCCAATGAAAAATGGTTCCGTTTGATACCTTTCAGTGTCCCGTTATTTGCAGTATTTTAATCTGGAAGGTGATGAAGTCAGGCTGGGCTTATCCTCCTGGTTTCTGCAGAAATTTTGGTCTCAACAGAACAGGAGCCATCAGGCCCTAGAGGAGTGGCAGTGCAGTGTGAGGCAGTGAAAGGCTCCATCCCGAGCTGTGAAGCTGGAACCCAGCTGTTGTCGAGGCTGTTCCTGGCAGAGCAGAGCAAGACCCAATTGTCTGATCTGGGACTGGCCATGGCTCTGTGCTGGCCAGGCTGGTGTCACTGCCCTGCTCCAAACTCCAGGCAAACCCACACCAGCTGAGCCAGCTCAAATTGTCATTTGGCAGCAACAGGACCTGGTCCCCCCGCGTGAAACTGTGCTGATAACAACATGGACCAAACTGATAAACTGCTCTGCCACTGTCTTCTTTTGTCACAGCTCCCAGGGCCTGAAGCACTCTGGTTGTGGATCTGCTTCCTCCTTTTCTTCCTCTAAAGGACTGACTCATTAGCAGTACCAAATGACTGCATTAATTATCTGTAAGATAAGTGATGCAATGAAATGTTGAGCCTTCCCACATCCAAACCACAAAATGCCATTCTCCTCCTCTCTCAGTGGAGATTTCGCCGAAGGACGCACATTTTCAAGGAGAGGAAGGGCCTCAAAGCACAAGTTCCTTCTTCTGCCAGTACAGGAGCTTCTCCTCAGTCCTGGGCTCCAGAGCATGCTGAGCAAACAGGGAGAAATCAGTGTGGGAACTGCCATGGCCTCCTGTCTGTCTAACTGAATTATCAGAGCTGGTCATCTCTACAAATTCACTTACTAGCTAACATGCACAGGCAGAGGAAATGTAGGTGTTAATGAAAATCCTTAATCTGAGTGTAACATTTTCCTTGCTTGGCCATTCATTTCAGAGGAGTTGCCATGGGGTATTTATTATTTTGAGAAATGTTTGTGATGATGAACTTCATACTTAGAATGGCCAAAGTACAAAATAACTTAATCATATGCTCACTCTGCAGTAGGTTATTAATAATTTCTTAGCTCACTAGAACAACTTAGATCTGAGATGTTAATTAATTTACCTCTGCTTATGCTGGTCAGCTTAACAATCTTGTATCTCTCAGTAAAGAAAAATATTTAAATCTGTTTCAGATGAAAAGTTTCAGAGAACCAATGTTTGGGTGGCAATCACTCAGACTAATGGTCATTTATTTAAAAACAATTGTTTCCACTGTAGCTAAAACTATGAAAACAAATCTTCCTTCCTAGCATTGTATAAACATTGTACAAAATGTACATTTTGGGACAAGTTTGACTCCAGCTGTGCCCCTTTTATTTTTGCACTTTTAGGTTGCTCTCTGCCTCCACTCCCCCATACAGCCACGGTTAGCTGGAAGCCAGAATTTATTCTGCAAACGCCCAGGCTCTAAGAACACAAACTTGTTTAAGCTGAGACCATATTTGGAAGAGATCTGGGTCAAGGAAAATAATCAAAGGAAAGTGCATTCCTGGAGCATCACGTGAGGAGGCCACGGCACACACAGGGCCCAGTGCTAACGCTCAGGGAGGACCCTCAGTGCCCCCCTGCCACTGCTGCTCCCCCTGAGCACCCCCTCAGCAAACTGGAAATGAGGAACCCCTTGGAATGAGCTGTTCAGCAGCAGCACACCATCAACAGCATCAGCACCATGGCACAAAGTTCAAAACTAACCCAGGCCAGCTCCACAGGCTCCATCCTCACAGCCACAGGTACCTGGCTGTAACCCTGCCACTGCTTTGGCTGAAGCCATGACCATTTCCTACAACTGTAAACATGCCTGAAGGACTGAAACACCAAAGTGTTCTCTCACTCCCTGAAATTCCAGCATTCTTTTTATTTTAGGAAGATCCCAAATCCAGCCCCTGCTGTTTGTTTTATATTTGGCTGCCACAATTGCAGAATTTCAGGAAAACTTTGCTTAACAAAAATTTTTTTTTTTTTGCTTCCACTTGGAACACTTGAGTATGAAAAGCCCCCACAGATGGTACTTTTAGCCTCTGACTATTTTATTTAATTAGCAGCCAAATGCACATTAACTAAATTGCAGTGCTTTAATTGTACAAGTAAAATCTCAAGCAGCCAGCACAGGGAACAGCTACAGAACATGCTGGCTGTGATCAACACTCACTGTCCAAGTTTATGTTTTTAGCATTAAATCAGCATGTAAAATAGGCCTTGAGCTGCCTGTTTTAAACAAAAGGTGGCAGCATGAACCATACAGTTCAGGGAGTATAACATTCTGAACTGTGATAGCACAAATTTTTTTATCGTGCTGTGAATTTTTTTCCCCCCACACAAAATACTGGATTTAGTCTCTCCTGTTTTCATGACTTGGGCATTAATCCTTCACAGGGATGGTGGGGGGTTATTGCTGTTTGAATCTCTGGTGGGTCACTTGCATGGAGAATGACGGAGCTGGGCTGGGAACAGGGGTCTGACCCTGCCTCCCCTCCCTGCTGTGACACCACCACATTATGTGACATGCAAGAAAAAGGTGATTCATGGTCAATACTTTTATGACTTATCCACCCAGAACATCACTGCTCACTCACTGAGAGCATAAAGGCAACCTTGAAAGCTGGTAATGCTTTCATTACCTGGCAGGAAACAGAGCAAGCTCTGCTTATGTGTATTTAAAAGGAAAAACCAAAAAATCACAGCCCTGTGCTCTTCCCACAACTGGCAACGTGAATCTGACCAGGGCAGATTCCCTGGAAAGCAGCAAATCATGATGTTTATAAAGATCTTGTCTAGATCCATGGAGACCCTTGTCAAGAACTACACAGAGCTTTTCATTATTGAATTCTATCTTTTCCAAACTTTTATTCTCATCCTATTTCCATTGTTTATTTTCCTGTGTATTTGTAAATTTGAGAGTTTCTTTTCCCCCAGCTTTTATGCATTTTGCTCCTGTTTTCACGTATCCAAACACCTTCACTGTGACTTTCTTAACTGAGTCTGGGCTGTGTGGCATTGCATTTCCAGCACAAAAACAAAAGTACAAGCTGCTGTTCACATCACTCTTCTCCAAACAGCATGAGGTTAACTGTCATAGAAAAAACCACAGAAGCAGTGCAAGTGCAGAAAACAGAGGAGCTATTCAGAAAGACAGTTTCTGAAAAATATACATTGAAATTGCTTTTATTTTTGCTGGAATTAAAAAAACATAAGAATATTGACATTGCATTTAAAACCCCCAGGAAGTTAAAGATTATACATTTTTGTATCTCTGAAACCCAATAAAAGTGTCTCCATCATGCCTTTTTTAGGAGATATCAATGTATGAACATTTTGAACCAAGACTTTTAAACACATGTCAAGCTGTCCAAACTCCACAGTGCTCTTCATTAAATACACAAAATGTGTCATTTCTGGGAAGGAACACTGCCCAAAAGTTAGACAATTCAACAAAGAATTTCTAGGAAAGACATCAAAGCCCAGTCCTTAAGGGAAGGAAAACATGTATTTAAATGTAATCACAGAACTTTAGTTTGGGATTTCTGTTTTAAGTTTTGAGAAGTGTTACTGTGTGTTCTGTTCTCTCTGCTCTACTCCATGTATTAATACTGGCAAGTACTGCATTAGGAGTGCTCTGATCCTAAAAGTAGACTGTTATATAATCATTCCTTTACTTCTTCCCAGTACTGCAAATAAAGTACACTGACAGGGTAACACACAGTTGTATGCAAACACCAAGAGTCACTTCAATTACCTGAAGTTTGGAAAGAAAATTGTGAATTTATACAGCCATGATGCAGATTGTATGATTTGTCTTCAGCAGGGTTAAAGCAGTATATACACAGCTGGTTTAAAATGACACATTTCTTCTCAGTGTGTCAGGTAAGAAAAGCTTTCTATGAAAGTCCTTTTGAAAATTATCATCTTGAAAATCTTGCAGCTGCTAGGATGAAACAATTGAAATTGCTACTGCTTTGGCTCCAGACAAGCAGACAGAAGTTAACTGCTTAGGAGTAGAGTCCCTCATGAATCCTACTGGTTATGGGGATGAGAGCTCAAAAACATTGGTCTTGCCTGTCCCAGTAGCTTATTACTGCAATGATAGTATTTGTGGAATTCATTCATAAATATCATTATACATTTTTACTTAAAGTCATGTCCTAACAGTAATAAAGATGACAATCCTGGGGGAATAATCACATTAAATGTATATATAAGAACAATATAAAAGAGTGACAAAGTTTTATTTCATTACAAAAGAGGTTTCTCTTTTCTTTTTCTGCGAATTCCTTTTTAAACTAAAACGGGGTTCATTCTTATGTCACCAAATGAGGGGAAAAAAAATCAAATCCTAAAATTCTGATGTTTAGAAAAAAACAGAACTATTATCATACTACAAAACATTTCACTTTACAACAACCCCAAAGAGTTATCTATTACCTGGGTGATAAAGAAAAACAGGGACATGACAAGGATAAAATTCTCTACTCTGATCAATGCAAAACTCTCTGACCTTAAGGGACATTTGTACAGGGAATGAATGTGTGTGAAACCAGCCAGAGAGATGCTATGGATGGATCAGGAGAAAAATCCTGCCTTTATTTTGGTGTTTTAGAATTTTTCCAGTAGAAACTGATGTGTGAACCATTTCAACAATATGAAGCAGGTACATTCTAACAATTTCCAACACAAATCCCAACACTTTCATTTTACTTAACAGTATACTACTGTCTGTCAAAAAAAGTCAGTTTATTTCATATTCTTTATGATGAAAAGTGTATAAACTGCACTTTCAAATTAAATCATGTTCCACCAAAACTGGTCTGGCTTTAAGACTGATAACTTTAGTGGAGAGAATTAAGATGCTTCAGCAAGTATCAATTTTCTGTTAAAAAAATGTCCGCAAGATGAAATAAAAAATTTTCTTAATTTACAATAAGCAGTGTAAACAGCAAAAACAACAGAAGCCACAAAGTTTCATGCACCAGCTGCTAGCAGACAAATAACTCCAAATGCTCATAGAACCTTGTATCTTCCTTTGTTGGTTGGTTGGTAAGAATTTTGCTGCAAATAAAGAAGAAGATAACCACAGTTAAAAGTGAAGATGGATAAATGAATTGCAGTAAAACCCCACTAGGTTTTTAGCTGGCTATGTTGTAAAGCTACAGCAAACCAGATCTCTCAACACTTATAAAATATTAAAATGAGGGGAATAATCCTGTCCCCTGCCTGATGGTGTTGAAATTAGGAAATTTATTGGGACTCAACTCTGAGGGGGTCTTCCTTCAAAAAGCTCTGTCAATGTGTTATCTCCATCTGCTGGCTGATAGCAGCCGTGTTCTGGCTGATTAACCAGTGCCATGGATTCTTAGGCTGTTCAGTGTTTTTGAGATCTATAGGTCCCAGTCCCTGATATTAATAAAACCTTATGCCAGATCATCAACATTTGCAGAAGTCAATCTCATAAATCATACATTAAGGCACTTTCCCTCTGCTTTCTGGATATTGCACTCACCAATCTGATGAGCTCCTCTTTTATAAGTCGTGTGATTTCTGCCTTTGCTTTCTGTACAGCAAGTTCATTGGCACCTGAAGATAAAAATATGTATTATAATCTTCAACACTTTCTGTATATGAAGCCTGCAGCTTAAAAACTGCTCTCTACTTTCAGAAGCACAGTAAAATCTGCTGAATATCCTCAGCTATTTGGTGAAGAACACTTTATTACACAGAATTCCAAAGCTTGACTGTGTTCTCTTTTAAGAAGATACTCCAGTCATAAATGATACTGTTCAGAAATATGTAGGATTTGAGGTTTCTTTGAAAAACTCAACCATCATGACAGTTGCCAAGTTTTTCTGGTAGTAGTTGATGCAATTTCTTATACCTTTAACAGCCTAAACAGAATTCTGTTTTCTTCCTTATTTCACACTGGCACAGACCTTTTTGTGCTAATTGTTCTTCCTCTGTTCTTTTCCCCTCCTCCAAACTGATTTCTTACATTAGCTGTTGTTCTGTGGCAGGTGAGGAGAAGCCTCTCTGTGACCCCCATGGATCATTTAATAAGTGTATAAAGACAAACAAGTGTTTTTCAGTACTTTGCAAAGTAACTGCAGTGAGTCTGTAACTCAAGTGTCCAAACAGTGACTACAGAAATTCCATGTCTAATTACAAAACTAGACTCACAGCTTTAACAGAAACATTTATAAAAAGAATACATACTTTCAATAGCCAAATAAATCTTTCGTTCTCCTTCCTTGGGTTCTTTGCCTGGAGGGAAATAAGTTCCCCTGATTGTAATGGCAGCTTCAGAATATTCACTGATTCTCTGCAGTGCTTCTTTGGAGGTAACTTTCCATCTGGCAGTCTGCAAGTTGAAGGACAGGAGGGGATCAACAAGGAGAAAGGCAGCACACAAAATGGCAATCCATTAGTTCTGCCAGCATGGGCATAACCTCAAAGATAAATACAGGGAATTTGTACTTGATACTGTGAAATGTAAATCCTCAAAATAATAGATGAGTTAGATCTGAGCACCAATATCCTGAATGGCAGAAATACTCAGGTACTACAAAAAGGGCAAAGAGTTGTATCAGTCATGGCAGTAAAGCCTTTGCAAAAAACACCAGACAGTGTCAGAGAAGTAGGTAGAGGGTGAAGAGATTTTTATCTGATAAGGAATACTTGTTTTTCTGATACTCTCTGGAATAAGTCCAAGGCATTGCATTTATATAACCTGAGAAGTAATCACAGTTAATGTAGCAATTTCAATTAGGTATGATCAGAAACAGAGACACAGTATTTTACTGGTGTGAGTTTGAAGAGAGGTTTTGTTAAATGATGGTCGTTTATACTTGATTGTAGCAAAATGGTTACTTGCCTGTGGGAAGTCATTGATCTCTAATTCTTCTTCATATCTCTTGAAGGATTCATTCTGTCCTCCATCCTGTTTCTCTTCCTCCTGCTTCTCTATGGGTACATAATTGAGCTTGGCATTGATTTTTTCAGCCAGCTGCTCTGCAATGGTCTTGGCAGACACAGTAGGAGCTTGAATTGTGCCTCCTCTCAGGATAGCATTTGTAGCCTGCTGCATCACATCCTGTAAAAGCACAGGTCCATACTGAGAACAAGGTAGCCAAAAAAGTCCTATATAAACCAATAATAGTTTCATTAAAGCTCTCTATGTAATGTAATTGTCTAGCTAACAAATACATTCTCCAGACTTCTGCTTTTCCTTCCTCCTTTCTGCAAAGAAAAGACCTTAGTGGTCTTTTGTATTTTCAGCTTAAAATATCTTTGGATATTCCAGAACAATTAAGCTCAATCTAAACACATTTTACATCACACATACATTCCATGCTTCAGCAGAGAAAGACATTCTGCAACTCTGCCAAAGCTGACACAACTAATTGTGTAATGTTATCAGTAATGAATTAACTCTTTGTCAGGGCAGACAAAGCATTTATGGTTCTGTAATAAGTCTTATAAACAAATCAGCTCACTTACAAATCCTATATAAGTGAGTTAGCCAAGGCTAAATGAGATAAACCATGCAGTATATACTAGTGTGCAGAAACACTAAATCAAATGGCAACCACAGAACAAAGAACTGAACAACCTTTATTAAAAAAGAGTAAAACTGGTCTGTAAAGAGCCTGACCTTAAAGTGGAAGGGAACCATGACTTGTGCCTCTGCTCCAAGATTCTTCTGGGCATTGATTCTCAAAGCCAATCTTTTAGCAATTTCCAATTTTTCTGCATTGCCAGCTGATGGTGTAGGAGCATTTGATGTTCCTGGTGCTGCCATGTCTTTTACTCTTTTCTTGGAATTGAACATGCTTTCAATTTGTTCATCAATCTAAAGAAAAGAACAATTATTTCATCACTGCATTTCCACTAAATAATCTTGTCATGATAAAGAAACACTAAGGGACATTTAGTTTACATGTTCTTAAAGAAATTAATCTTGTATAAATGGTAGAAGCCTGCCCAAAACTACAGCTCAACAAAAGGATGATCTAATCAGGAAAAAGTCCGAACACAGTGTTTACCTGCAAGGTCACAAAAAGGAATCTATCCAATATTAAGAAAGGAATTTAATAAGATTTAAAATAGAAAATGCTAACATGAATGTCTTTAAAACACTTCAAATAAAAATATGTTTGCAACTGAGGACCATCGTTCTATTTCATTTATGCAAGAATAATATCCCAAATAATTTATGTGACATTTACACACATTAAGTGTAAAATACCAATAAGTCAAAAAGAGACATTGAAAATCTTCCTAGATTTTGATCTTTATAGCTGTATCTCTATATTTGAAGAAAACATGCAGTCAGTAACAAAGGTCACAGAGTAACAGAAATCCGTGCACTCTGCAAAGTATTATGCAACCTACTGGGTTAGAAAATCAAATGTATTGCGAAAATCCTAAGCAACTTAAATCCTATTCCCAAGTGCTTACATCAACAGCTGTATCTTCATCATCAGAATCCTGCAAGCCAAGAGCTGCTTTTTGTAGCTTCTTTCTTTCATTAGCCAAAGCCTGTTCTGTTTCATCGAATTTAAAACCTTTGCCAGAGAATCCACTGCTTTTTTTAATCAACTTTCCCTCCTGAAAACAAAAACATGTATTATCATACTTAGGAGTTTCAAATCCTAGTCCTCACAGTCATAAAATAACTTTACAATTATACAAATAATTTTGATATTCTTTAAAAAGCAAATCCTAGCACATTCGTAAAGTGCTTCAAATTTAAAACCTGCATTTAACAATGAAATGTAATTAAAAAAAACTCTGTTAATTCAGCAGAGACAGTATCCTATTGGGGTTTTCTGTAAGTATACATTTTAAATGCTTTTCAAATGCAGTATAAAAAACCCTCCATTTTTTTATAGCAGAAAAACTCCAAAGTCATTCTTCTCAGCATGAGTGAGATCCTCTGATGGTGAGAGCTCTAGAAATAATCATAGAAATTCTGTGAAAGGGCTTCATTATCTTGTATGTGAATTTTGTTAAAAGCCAAAGTGCCTCTCGTGCCATAGGTATTTATTACACACCCAGTGACAATATTTAAATTCTCAGGAAGTTCTTTAATGACATTCAAGATCCCAATCTTGAGGTCACTGACACACTCAGCCAAGCACACTCGTGTTCCCAGAGAGGTCACCCATGCATGCACAGGCATTAAACCTGGACCAAGCCACCTACAGAAGAAAGAATTACTTACAGCCTTCTGTTGCTCTTTGAAGTCAGCCCAGAGCTTCTCCAAATCAGGAGGAATTGGATTCCCAGACAATTCCAAAGCCTTAATGATATCACCAGCATAACGTGCCTGATCCTCAGTAATGAATGTATATGCATACCCCTGGTCAAAATTCATTTAAGACACAATTAGGAAAAAGCTCTAAAGACATCATCTCTAAATTTATTGAAGCACCCTTGCACAGATGCTGATTTCTAGTCAACGAAAGTAACCATGACAGTCATGCAATAACTCCTTTCTAGTGGAAGTGTAGAATGAATAATGTGATTTCCCAGGAAGCTGATACAGAAGTAATCATCCAAAGACAGTAAACACTGAAATCTCTCCTTCCAACCAGTGTTGTCATGGTTCAAAGTTAAGAAAGATTAAAATCTTTTCAATTTATTAGGGCACATTTCCAACAGTGCAAAACAACCAAAGAACACTCAGACATCAGAAGAACACGTATCTTCCAAATTTCAAATTGCTGAAGTTCAGAACATACAAAAAACACTCTTCCCACCAACAACACACACTGCTCCCTCTGTAGCTATCCCTTGGAACAACTTCATCAAAGAGTAAAGAAGGGGAAATGCCAGCACTGAGTGTGTGAGTACATGGGTGCACATACTTTATTGCCAGCTCGCCCGGTGCGGCCGGCTCGGTGCACGTAGTCCTCATAGTGGTTGGGACAGCTGTAATTGACCACCAGCATCAGCTGCTTCACATCCAAGCCCCTGGCTGCCACAGATGTGGCCACCAGAAGTTTGCAGGTTCCATTCTTGAAGTCATTAATGATGCTGTCTCTGTCATACTGATCAATACCTGCAAGACAAATCAGTTCATTATAAAGCTCTGCTTTAAGCCATGAGAATTTGTACAAAGGTCAAAATACCCTCAAACTTCAAACAACCAAAACCACAAGCAAATAAAACTTAACACTTCCACACTTTTGAAGGCAAAATATATTAGCCAAAATAACCTCTATTATTTAGAATAACTTCTAATTTTTCAACTACCATAAGATGTTTTCCCCATACCAAGAACCCTAAAAATGTTTTTTAGTATAATTTTCTCTCTTGTACTTCAGCTGAGACCTCATCTGGAGGCTTTGTCTGTTCTCTAAAGAAAACAGAAATCTCAGAAGAACAAGAGTATTTTTCCCTCTTCCATTGCTGCATTCCTGCTGAACAATGATTTTGTACTTATTGATTTTACATAACACACTCCAAAAAAGACTCTAAGTTTTAAGATACACTGGGATGGACAGCATTGTAAAGAGATTTTTCTCCTCTTGCTACTTCCATTCTATTACTACTTGATAGAAGAAAAGTAAAGCAACAACTGCTGTTACTGTGGAATCTCAAATAAAAATATCATGTGATACTTCCCATGGCACTCACTACTCTGCAATAATGAGTAGTCAGCAATATTCCCTGGGAGGTGTTAACTCTAACAGTCCTCTGGCACAGACACAAGATGTGGCATCTGATGACATCTCCCAGAGAACAATGAAGAGTAATTACACAAAACTATCATATCTATTTCAAATTAAGAGACAATTATCCTCCCCAATTACAAAGCATAACCTGCTTATGAGGAAGTAATAGAATTGGTACTATACAAGAACTAAGTGATTTTTAACTACTGTATACCAAGATCCTAGTTGGGAGTTGTTAATATAAGTCCTTAAATTTGCAGATTACCTCCATGGAGAGACAAGCAAGGATAAGAGGCCCTCATTAAATCTTTCAACAACCCATCAGCGTGTTCTTGCTTATCTACAAATATGATAACAGATCCTTTCTCCTGATAATGTCCCAGTAGCTCCAGTAACTTCAGAAATTTGTTCTCCTCTTCTATGACAATCTGGAAAATGACATACAAAAGAGTATAATTTGTATCTTGAGTTATTAAACAAATCCAGAGTGTAGAAAAGTAAAAATCATGAACAGGAGATGAGTTTTTCAGGCTGTTCCCACAGTTAGTGATAAAACAGCTGTTCAGCTTAGTGCTACAAACCAACTTTAAAAATCTCACTGCATTTGTATATTAAGGTGTTGATTTATTCTAAGTTCATTTTTAATAAGGCCACTAAACTTCTAAAACTAAAAGCTCTGTGGTATATTGGTTTATATTCAACACTGCTGGGAACAATCCTCTGCAGACAAAGAAGATAAGCGAGGCAGATGCATCATACTCACCACGTGCTGCTCCACATCAGAGCAGACAACACTCCTGCCTCCAACCTGCACCTCTATGGGTTTGCTGAGGATCCTGCGAGCCAGGGCCTCCATAGCTCTGGGGAAAGTAGCAGAGAACATGACAGTCTGACGGTCAGGCCTGACGTTGTCTACAATGCGCATGACCTGTGGTGAGAGAACGGTCCCTGTTAACATCAACTGCTGCAACTCCATTTCACACCCACCAAAGCTGTCATCTCTAAAGCCAGGTGGTATCTGCCAATACCACTAAACATTCTTTACAGATTTCCTCTAGGCAACCAAGCTGCTGGCATTGGAAGACGGCAAAACTTGCTGGATTCAGAAGGAAGTTGCATGGCAATATGGAATCTGGCAGCAGCTCAGCAAAAATCCTAGGAAATGCAGCAGAAACCCTACAGCTCAAGACACACATACAGGGAATTTTCCTGATTTTGGAGAAGAGTACAGCCCATGTCAACTGAAAGAGCCCTGGATGTCCAAAGCTCTCAGCAAGTCAGCAGCATTTCCAACGTTTTGTTCTTATCTCTTGCCAAGAGACATCAAAGATTTTATTAACAGACTAAAACTACTAACACAACACCAGTATCAAGGAACTACACAGGGATACCACGAGTACTCAGAATGAGTGTGTAAAACACTCTGTGTATCAGAGAAATATCTAAGCTATATAGGAACTTATTGAAAGCAAAACAGAGAATCATAGAATGGTTTGGGTTGGAAGGGACTCTGAAGATCTTCCAGTTCCAAGGCCTTGCCATGGGCAGGGATATCTTCTACTAGATGTGAGGATAATATGATGTTATAATAATGTGATAACAGATAGGAGAGTAATAGAAATATTAGAGTCAGCTTAAACTGCTGTCCATATGCAGCACATCCTTTTGAACATCCACTGGCAGATGTAGCATTGCAAAACCCTTGATGTGACAAACAGTCTCTTTTGGCACCACCCCCCATGTCTTGAATTACCTGAGGCTCAAACCCCATGTCAAACATTCTGTCAGCTTCATCAAGCACAACGTACGTGACTCTGCGGAGGTTTGTCACCCGACCTGTGAAAGGAGAGGAAAAAACACATGGGAAACAAAATCAAATGGAAATCTAGTTGCCCTTAGGAATATTTTTTTTAAATGTTATATAGTCTCACTATCTTCTAACAAAGATATTAATTAATTTTTTTAAAAATTCACTGAATGTGAATTTTAATGTTCACACTTTAATCACACATACATTCTGGGAAATGTGTAAGTATGCACAAGGCCCTTTTAGTTTGTCAAACTCGTCTCTTGCATACCATCATAGGGCCAGAAGAACCTGTAAAATTCAGAAAACTGCCCTCGCCAAAACACATCATAAAACTAAGACTGAGCTGAAGCAAGGAGCCACATCAGCCAGTATCTGACAGCGGCACCTAGAAAAGAACATATTAGAGATTACAGCGCATGTGTGGAAGGCAAAGCCCAGTGCTAACTGCTGCAGCCTCAGAAAATTCCTTTATACACAATCTGTAATGCTTCCTTGGAATTCAGAATAACTACAAGAGGATAACCATACTAGTTCTAGATCACTGCTAATAATAGGCATAAAACAGAGTAAGCAATCTTTTAAAAATAACTATTATATAAAGATTAAAACCTACCCAGTAACACTACTGAATTTAAAAATCAAGAACCACCCCAAACTCTGGGACAGGTTGAAATAAAATAAGCAAGTTGTGTTTCTGTGAACATTTTGAAATGATCATGGACAGGATAACTAGCACCCTTCCCAAACAGTGAAGAGATTCCCCTTCATGAGAAGGATTTAACTCAAGGATTTAAAATCATACTCTGAAACAATATAAACACATTCAGTTCCACACAGCTGTGGAGTGACACTGCCAAATGCTCTCTGACTGGGAAAGATTTGTTACATTTTCTACAACTATCACTCAGACTTGTGCCTATCAAACTACAGAAGAATTTGGTCCTCTCAGCTTCAGCAAATTGAGCTGAATCCTCAAATTATTTAAGACATTAAGCGCTGCATTTTTTAAGATATGGAATTCAACGTTAAGGAACAAAGCAAGTATTCCTGACATCTACATATCTATTTAACATCTTAAGACTTTCATCCCCAAATAATAACTTTGTAAAATTACTTGGGAACAGCATTAATGTACCTACCTTTGACGATATAAGTCTTGGAAGCCCAGTTCTATATGTCTTGAAGGTACTTTTTTCACAGAAGTTAAATAATGTCAACAGTTTAGTAGAGGTTTTGATGTGGAATAATTTAATAATAAAACTTTATCTAATAAGCATGCAATGGTTACACTAGGACAAAACCTCTTAAAGCTGCAGTGGCTCAGTTTAATCAATCTGAATATCTGATATAAGGTCAGTTCTTTTACTTCTGAGCAGGTATTTAGGGAGGGCTTCTTTGTCTGTTTTTAAAGCCAACAGATAAAGGCAGAGTCAGATGCTCTTGTAAAGCAGGGAACTGCTGAGCTACTCTAGCATGGATCAACGGGCAGACAAAATAAGCAACTCTTACATAACCTTTATCTAAATGACTCCAACTTAAAAAATTTGGACCAGCACATTTCAAGTTTAGCAATGATAAACATTCTCAAAAACTCTTCAAGAATGTAGTATTTCCTGTCCTCCCCAAAAATGGCAAATCAATATATGCTTAAACCTATTATTAGTGTTATATATTCTCAATAGCTATATAGTGCAGCCTGAAGAGATATAAGAAAATTCCATAAGACCATTTATCAAAATACATGATCTTTTGAATCTGTTAGAATTACACAACAAATGTAAAAGAAATCTCCAAAGGAAAAGGTTTTCTACTCACCATTGTTAGCTGCTAACATGTCAATCATACGTCCAGGTGTGCAAACAATAATTTCAGCACCTCTTTTGAGTTCAGCTATCTGATTTCAAAACACAGTAAAAAACTATCACTTTTTGCTTTGTGATTTCTTCCAGAGTTTTTTAAACATATATCATCTTGCAAAAAAGAAAACCATCTACACTGTAATATATCTGTTCTACTAACATGAATTACATAAAGATTTTCATTAGCAATTCCTTCAAGTCTTTGGAGAACTTTGCTTCCAAAAAGAGTAACCCCTGACAGTCAGAGTTACCACCACCTGGAGCAGTTTTAATGAGAAGATGACTTCAATATGCTTAAGAGCCTATAAGAAATATCGGTGTTACATCAGGAACAAGTGATAGTAGATACACCACCTTCCACCACAGATGGTCACTCCTGTTATGGTCACCCCATAAATAGGTGGGGTGGAGGTGTGGAAAACCTTGAAATTAATCTCTAAGTTACTTCAAGATGCAATATTTGATAATGAAATAAAGCAAAGTTATAATTTTCTGGCTTTTGTTATCTTAAAGGGAACTCTCAGAAGAATACAGCTTCCTAGTAACTTTCAAACTATTATATCCCACTAATAATTCAATTTTAATTTAATGCACAGTACATACATAAAGACAAACAGTCTGGAATTTTTAAGGATCATATCTGAGACTTTCCAGGATCATTATTGTTTAAAGGTAAGTTACATGCAAAGCTTTTTGCATTACTACCATTCCCACAGAGAAAATCCATAATGAAGACTGCAAATGTACTGGATTATGGAAAAGAAAAATCAACTAACTTTGCTACAAAAGAAACACTGAATAATGAAGCCCAAGCACTCTTTGACAAGCCAGGCATGTGTTCTGCATACCTGTTCACTGATTCCTGTTCCTCCATAAACACACACAACTCGAAGTCCAAGAGTCTTTGAGAATTTCTTGCACTCCTTGGTAATCTGCAAAGCCAACTCACGTGTAGGTGTCATAATGACAGCTGAAAAACAAAACATTTTAATCATACATTGGAATATAAGACATGTTGTATTTTCCACAATAGAAATTAATCTTTTGTAATGATGTTTACAGCAATTCACTTCCTATTTTTAAGAACGTAACTTCAAGGAAAAGGTAACTGAGACATTATAAGGAAGGAGTGGAAATCTGGTCCAAGTGTAAGAATCAAGGGAGGAAGGTCTCCCATACATGTGGACATGGGAGTGCTACTGAAACAACATGAGCTAGCACAGTAATCACAAAACAACATGAAAGAGCATGGTGATCTTTAACTAAACAAAACCCCCACTCATCAATGGACATTAGTAAGCACTTCTCCCTATAACCAAAGAACTGAAATCCCATCTAAAGCATATACTTGATGTTATATTTATTTAAATAGTAACTTTGAAAATACAATCTTTTTACCTATGGGACCTTCTCCTTCTTCTAATGCTCTCTGATCCATGATGTGTCTGAACATGGGCAACAGAAATGCAATCGTTTTTCCACTTCCTGTTTTAGCAATGCCAATCAAATCCCGTCCATTCATAATTGCTGGGATAGCCTGGGTTTGAATGGGAGTGGGCTTTTCATAGCCATGTCTTCAAGAAGGAAAAAAATATTTTAAGAACAAAATAGAATTTGATAGATGTGAATCATGAAGTTATGCTAAAAAGTTTTTACATATTCATATTTACATATATATATATATCAGTGCCCTTCAAAAAATACAGATCAAAATGAGCAGCAAAAACATGATACAAATGGCAGAGAATAGTTAATAAAAATAATTCCACACAGAGTGATAAACACTCTGATGACTATAATTGTAACATTTACATGGACATGTGGCATTCATTATGCAGCAAAGTAAAAGGTCCTTCTCAAGGACACAGGACAGAACACAGCAAGCAAAATCAAGGATACAGTTCATAAAGTGCTTGCTTACTTTTTGAGGGCAGTGAGAATCTTCATGGAAATACCACATTGTACCCAGGTTTTTATTGGTTTGGGACAGCCTTTTCCCTTGACTGTAATTCCCTCCAGCTCCAGCCTGTACACGTTGACCTCTGAAATAGAGTTTGTCTTTTAACAGAGTCAAACTTGATACTTCTCTAATATCCTGATCAAAAAATTCTTGCTTTGTCCCTTAACATGAAATACTATTTTTATCACTACCAGAAAAACAGCTTTTTGCTTGTTACACATAAACACAGCAGTTAGATTGAAAGGACTCAGCTTAATTTTCCAATCAAAGCCTCTATATAATTACAGTAAGTTATCAACAATAGAGATGCACCCGATTTAACATTTTTCTATAGCAAGTTGCTCCAAATGCTTTTTACATTGCAAAGCATTTGCTGTTCCTTAGCACACTGAAATCCACCATTCTTTCCTTCAACAGTACCAAAGGTGTTCCGGTTGTATTTGTCTTTACCTTCTTGAGTCATTTTAGCTAGTTCTGGAACTTCAACATAGAAGTTTTTCCTGAAAGGTTCATATTCTATCTTTCCATGATCCACTGGTTCTAGCAGCTTTCTCTGCTTGGTCTGATAGCCAGTCAGGGCAGTCTGAAGGTCAACCTCCTCCTCTTCTGAGGAATACTGCAGAAATAACAATTTTTGTGTCTATTAGGATTAATGAATTATGAAGGTGTTTGGCTTTTGACATTTATAGAGCAACTACACAGAAGCAACAGGTACTTATAACTGAATTAGACATGAAACTGAAGACGTGCTCTTAACTCAGGAGTCCCAATTGTTCTTTCCCCTAATGATTTCATGTTTCTCCCAAACCTTAACTCTCACCATGTTCTGTGGCACTTTCACGGCTTTACCAATGCCAGCTACCAGCCCTGTCACTCAGAACTAATCACTGCCACACCAAAGAAACAGTAAGAGGAAATGAAGAGCAAGCAGCCAGCCAGCAGAGTGGTGTCACACTGCAGTCACAGCTCTGACAGATGTCCCCAGCTCAGCTTTGAAGGAGCATCACTAGCACTGGAGCTGCAGCCACAGAGCACAGCCTGAAGTGGCTGAGCTGCAGGGCCTGCAGGGTGCTGAGTCTGTGACTCAAACTGACCCTCCACAGCCTCCTGAGCAGCAAAATCCCCACACCCTTCACAGCCCTTCAGGCCAAACACCCCACACAGCCACAGGAAGCAAGAACAGGCACTTTACCTGTTCACAAGAGAAATACAAAAAGGTTCCATTACCTCCATTGCATCTTGGTCATTCTCCATGAGTTCCCCTTTCTTCTTTTCTGACTCAGCAGATGCCTTTTTGGTTGTCACCACAGTTACCACCTTGGTAACAGTTGGTCCAGTTTTCTATAAAAAATGTTTAAAAACATGAATGCACTATTGTACAAAACAAAGACCATCCTGTAAAAAACATATACCGAATATTTGTACTTCTGGATACATTATGCTGAGCAATTTATTTCCTACTTCCTTTAGTGAAATTTAATCAGAATAATGCTTGATAAACAGTTCCATAAAAGCACCAGGAAATTATAGTTAAAACAAACATGCATTACGTGCATATAACTTGTTGGTTTTTTGCACTTTCTCCATTTTCCCCAAGCCATTTTCCTATTAAAACACAAAGTCCTTTAAAAGCAAGAAATATTTAACAAGTGATTTTACCTTTTCACTCCCACCTCCACCTTTCACACTTCTCATATTGAACTTCTTGACCTCTTCTTTTACTTCTTCCATATAAGCATCTAAAGGATCTAATTCCTCATCTTCAACCTCATTGCCTTCTTTTTCTCCTTCTGCAGTTTCCTCTTCATCATCTAATAAGAGCAAAAAAAATCGGGATGAAAGACAGGGAAAGACAAAAGTCCTTACATGTGGCAAAATGTTGTCCATCCAAATAACTACAACTATATATTACTATATAATTTTTCCCCATACAAGTCTCTCCAGCTGGTTTATCAAAAATCTATCTTAAGCCATCTGACACCATAATCGGATTTAGGCTTTTTTATTTTACAGTTCACATTCTGAAGAGTAATTAGATGCTTTAAAGATACTGTAATAAAAATATTACTAGGAATAGAAGTATTCTGTTATATATAAAGAGTTTAAATACCATCATCATCTTCTAAGCTCCATTTTTTCCCCTGTTTCATCTCTTCAATTTCTTTTTTCAGCTCTCCTATGTTTTCCATTGCCTTCTTGCGTTGTTCTTCCCTCCATTTCTCCACTCTTTCTTTTCGTTTTCTCATTTCTTCTTCTAGTTTATTCTGATCAAAATTCTATGGCAAAAACCAACCAAAAAGTGAAAATTAATGGCCATTGGCTTTATTTATGCTTCTTGAAACAAATGTAACCATTGAGTGAGCAAGCTGTAGAAGCTGTGGACATCCACAAACTTCCTGGTTTAAATTCTTTATCTTTTAAATTTACAAGTGTTAGAAGCCTCTACCTCAGTGGCCACAGCATTTGTGGTAGCATCTTTGTCTTTCTCTTCCTCTTTGTCATCTTTGTCCTTTTTCTTTTCTTTGGAAATGTCCACCCCATCTGTCTTTTCTTTAGATCTTGATCTGAAAGGTAAGATCAAGGTTTCGTACAACATTACAGCTTTTCTGAGGGGGAGGATACATCTAAGATGGACAGAAACTATAACCACCCTGTTATGTTTTCAAATACCTCACAAAACACACTGCTTCCCAGACATCTTTCCATGTCATGGAATTACTTCCTCTAACTCCCAGTAATGTAGACTCTAACCCAATCCAGCAATTTTGTGCCTTTCTAATTTCTTTGCAGAGTTCATTTTCAGAGCTCTTACAATTGATACTCCAGTTGTTCTGCGCTTTATTTTACAGCTCCTTGAAGTCAGCATTTAGAAAAGAGAACAAATTTCCTGTTTGTGGAATTTCTAGAGAAAGGTAAAGTGATCTAGCAACTTGCCATGGAAGTGTGAGCATCCCCCTAAACACATTGTCCTGGCTCTTCTCCTGGGAAAAGCTACTCATGTAATGCAAACATAACAGGCAGACTTGCACTGAATATAAAAACCATTTATAACAGGTTTTATTGTACTTACTTTGCGTCCAATTGAAAAGAAAGCATCTAAACCTAATTTGTGCTAGCTTATGACAATAAATATAAAATTCCCTTTAGCTAATTAAATATCATTAAGTTTTTTCCTTCGGACTATTCTGATACAAAACATACACTTATTCCCACACCTTTTGTGATTCCAGCTTGTCATGATTTCTAGAGTGCCATCACTACTTGTGCTGTATGCACTGTTGTTATCATTTACAGACTTCCCACTCATTTTACAGCAGAGCCTGACTATATGCTGCTTTCAATTATACCTGAAAACCGTACCAAGATATATTTAAAAAACAATGACCTGCAGTAAACCTTTACAGATTTCTAAAGCTAAGAACACAAGAATACCTGTTTTCTGTCTTCCTGTTCTTGCTTGGACTGGAGGATCGGGAGCGTCTCCCTCTACTCCTGCTCCGTGAGCGCCTCCTCTCCCGGCTCCGGGACCGTCTCCTCTCTCGGCTCCGCTCCCTTTCTCTGCTCCTCGAACGTCTGACATGCAACAACATTGTCTTTACTTAGGACATGCTCAGAGCAGAACTTTAGCCCTCCATTGAGGTACAGGTTGTAAAAGGAACCCACCGGTCATCAAGGAACAGGTTGTAAAAGGAACCCACCACTCTCAGGGTCTCTAGCTGCTCAGTGTAACCCCAAGATGTGTTAGAAAGTCTCTTTTCTCAGCCCGGTGCTTGAAGAAGGAGTCAGAGCTCTTCACATCTCGGTCTTAAGGTTGTTTATTGTTTCTTATCTATAAAATTATTTCTCCTGACCTGCTGAGGTCCGCTCAGCAAGACAGTCAGAGGCACTCTGCCTCCCGCAGGGCACTGTTATCTTTTTATACTAAAAACTACGTGTACAATATTTACAATTACTTTCCAATACCAATCATCTATGTTAGACAGTGAGCTTCTACTCTAAATGAATCTAAAAGATGGAGGCCAAGAAGAAGGAGAAAGGATGGACATGCCCAGATTCCTCCATATTACCCAGTGAACCCTCATTCTAAAAACTTCAAAAAATCTATTTTATACCTTGTGATAAATTCACTATCATTCTACTTAAACTTTGGTGGCTTGTAATTCTTCATATAAAGGTTGGTAATTGTTTTTATTAAGGGCTAGATCAAAGGCACAGAGGTCTTGGGCTCTGTGCCAAGATCTCTGAGCTCCCTGGGCAGGGTCTCGAGCCCTGCAGGGCAGACAGAGGAATTTGCTGGGCTCCCACAGACCACTAAGAACTTACAAACTCCAGCACCAGCAAGCATTTAATAAGCAAAAAGCCTTAAGCACAGTGAAATCCATCACGTAACTAACTGGAGTGGGAGAACACCAACATCCAGCAGACAGGCACTTGCAGGTACTCTGACTGGAGCTGATGCCGTACCTTTGACGCTTCCTGTCCCGTGAGCGAGACCTCCTCTTGTCCCTGCTGCGTGACCTGTCCCGCCGGCGGTCCCGCTCGCGGCTCCTGGAGCGCCGGTCCTCGCGCTTCCTCTTGTCCGACGGGGAGCGGCTCCTGGAGCGGCTCCCGGAGCGGCCCCGGGACGCCGAGCGCTTCCGGTAATGCCTGCGGGGCACACAGGGTGAGCACCACCACCATGGACAGCAGGCAAAAATAATTACCTGGATTTCTGGCTTTGTAAGTGTCTAAATTTCTGCAATCCTCCTGTCAAACTGATTAATGTACATACTATATGTATAATATACATAACATGCATATACACTCCTAGTGCCGCTGAAATTAGAAGGATTATTTGGTCATGATTTTCTTTTAGAGTACTACTACAAGCACATCGTAAGAACACCAGAACATCAAGAACAATTTCCTTTCCAGAAATCCACTGACTTCCATTTTATATTTAGGAAAAGCTGAAGGCTCTTTGAAGCTATCCCAAAATCCGTTAAGCAAACAAAACTGCTCTTTGTTGCTTTTTATATAATAAATGTTTACACGTGTAAGGCAGGTGAACTATAGCTGTGCTCAATGGGCAAGCTGTCAGACTGGAATTAAAGAAACATAAATCCCTGAGGAAGTGACACTGTGGTCAATGCCTTTACCATGCTGACATCAACAGAAATTCCTTCATTTCAAACAACACACCAGAAGCTGTCAGAAGTCAGCAAGGCTTGAGGAGTGTGATGGAGATGGGGGTCTCCTTTCCTCCCCTCATTAATGTTCTTAACCCAACCACACTGTGGGGCACAGCAGGGCTAGGAATTTTCAAGGAAACTCTTCAACTTAGTGTAGAAGTCACAGAAGAACCTTGACTGTGACCATTTCCTCTTCCTGCAATCCCAGATTTTCAGACACCATGCCAGAATAATTCCTTTGTCCCTGTGGCTCAGGACCCACAGACCCTTTCTCCTGAGAAGCCCAGCAGTCATGCTTGAGAAGAAGGAAGAAGCAGAGAAGGCAAGACTTTAAGCCCCTCACTCCTTGTTTCACTTCCATGGTAGTATAAAACAGTTCAGCTCTAAAAATAGCAGTGTATTTCTATCTAGTCTATGTTATGTTGTATATTTAGGCAGCACATACACTTGGAGTCAGTACAGTGGCACACACCCACATCCTGCCCATCAGCAGGATAACTGACTGCAAAGAACATCCATCAGCATTGAGACTTTTAATTTCTTTTCTATCTCCATCAAAAAACGCCATGGGATCTGCTCTATACTTCCTCTCTTTCTAACCTTTTTGTTTTAGAGAACTACTTTTGTTTTTAATTTTTTTTCCTCTACAGTGTGCATTAAAGCAAAAAAACCGATTTCAGGTTGCAGAAGCCCCAGTGTGAGGAACATTTCCTCACACCAACCCCAGCACATGCAGCCCCCACCCATCTCCACCCACCATTCACTCTCACCCTCTTACCATTTCTTCACTTTTAAAACTTTAAACCCACTTTTAACATTATTTTTAGCCCAAACAGAGGAACCCTGTCATTTTCAGCAGAGAAGCTGCACTGTGACAAGCAACTGAGTCCTGCTGGCTGGAGTGCCAGAGCTTGGCAGTCAATCCAGGAGGCTCTAAGGGTGCCCTGTACCACCCACTGCGGCCCCAGCTCATCGGGAACTAATTTAGATAGATCTGTGGGAGTGCCCAGCTCTGCACTAGATCACTAATGTGAGCCTAAGGTGGTTGTTAAATTCCAAGTAATCTGTCTCCCTCGGTGGAGATGGACCTGGGAGCGGTTACAGTGTAGTATAACTGGATGTGGGGGCTGTCGGGTCAGCTTTAGAAAAAAAATCTGATTAAACTACGAGACGGAGGCATATGCCCGAGAGCAGTAGCAAATTTAAACCGTGGAAGTGGTTTAAAGCCTGGGAGGTGTGAGCAGCTCGGTATCATCTGGAGCACAGCTTCGGCCCGAGACACACAGCACAAGAGCACGTTACTGCCGAGCTGGTTACAACCCCAATCGGGTCTTTACATCAGCTGGGAGAGGGCAAAATAAACGTGGTCCATAAACACAAAAGGCACAAGCAAAAACACCTAAACCAAGCTAAACCCCTACGTGGCTAATTACGACATTTTGGAACAAGCCCGAGAAGGCCGGAGGTGCTCCGGGCGCCCGGGGTCGGTG